CATTTTATTACATTCGGGGGTGAAAAGGAGGCGAGGGTGTACGCTGGTCTATGGGAGGCTCGAGTCTACTATTATATAGTAAGTCCTCGTTGTCGTTTCCGGCAACGCGTAACGTTATTATCTTACTTTTCTCTCCGACTATTATTAGATTATTTTTATAAATTTTATTTTTTATTTATGGCTTTTGTTTGCAGGATATTGACCCGGGATTTTAATCCTTCATTTCAGGAAAATTCAAAAAATTTTTTTTAAAATATCTTTCTATTTTTTTTAGGTAAAATTTTTCTGAGAAATTAGAAAAGATATTTTGAAAAAATTTAATTGAAAATTGTAGAGGAAGATTAGAGGAAAATTTTAAGCCCAATAATTCATTTTTTGGACCAATAGATCGAAAATTATTTCAATTTTAAGATTCATAATGAAAAAACTCTAATTTTAGAGTTAAAAAATGAAATTTAAGGACTGGTCCGTAATTTTTATAACTAAAAGTGCCATTTTTGGGTAAAATATTGAAAATTTTAAAAAACGATAAGAAACCTTTTTTATAGAGGTCAATTTCCAACGAAAAAAGTCCTTATTAATTATACTTTCTCTCATTTTTAATCAGAAATTTGAATCTTAAAGTTGAAAATAAAATTTAAGGCCTAGTCCGTAATTTTCAAAAGTATAAAGTGCGATTTTTGGGTCAAATATTAAGGATTAATAAAATGAGACGAGACTTATCAATTTTACTCTCTTATTTTTGATCAGAAATTTGAACTTTAAAGTTAGAAATAAAATTTAAGGACTAGTCCGTAATTTTCAAAATTGGAATGTCATTTTTGGCTAAAATATTGAAGATCCTAAAAAATAATAAGACTTTTCTTATAAAAAATTCAATTCTCTACAAATAAGATCCTGATCAATTGTTCCCTCTTATTTTTAATCAGAAATTTGAATTTTAAAGTTAGAAATGAAATTTAAGGACCGGTCCGTAATTTTTAAAGCTAAAAGTGCCACTTTTGGCTGAAATATTGAAAAATCTGACAAAAATAAGCATGAATTTTAAAAATAAAGACTAAAATTTATTATTATTACTGTTGACATAAAAATCTCACTGCAAAAACTTTAAGATTTATTAAATCTCACCCTGTCTTCAACTAGTTTTCGTTTACCATAAAAGTTAACAGTATTGTTTACCTTTTTAGATGCTTAATAACTCATAAATTTTATTTGTCTTTGATATACTGCGAAACAGCAAACTCGGTAAACTTTTCCAGCTTTACTTTGGATCGTTGTTGTTTTTTCGGGTTAGACAATTTTTTCCGGCTAAATTAATCTTTCAGAAATCTTCCAAGGAGTGATTTAACCTTCTGCAATTATTCTAGGGATAATTACAAGCTGAATAATTGCTTGAAATTTCAAACTTTGTAAAATATTTAAAACTTCTTGCTTTTTTTTTAACTTTTCTTGTAACTAAAAAATTTTTATCGGAAGAAAAAATTAATTGTAACTTTGTCGAATAAGAAAAAAACCTTTGAAATTATTTTTAGCATCGTTACAAGCTGAGTTATTGAAGCTCAAAAGTCGAGGAATTTTATAAGTTGTTAAAACTCTTGGATTTATTGTTGAGATTTTTATTGAGAGCGAATTAAGTGTTTGGTGCGTAAGCGGGATTTCAATGAGTCTAACGAGGTTATAAGAAATTTTTACGAGCTATTGAACTTGAAATATTGACATTTAAGAATTAAACTCTTGGATTTTGCTGATGGAGATCAAGGATTATAACAAGAAATTTTTTATTACGCTTCGCTGGATCTGGATTTAATAAATCGCAAGTGTGCAATTTATTTTATATTATTATTAATAATTTATAAATTACTTTTCAATTCAAAATTATGGATCAAGTGAAATTTATTTAAAAAAATAATTTTTTAAAAATAGTCAAGTGAGATGTGACAGTTGTCAGTTTATTATATAGACATAAAACAATTATTATTATTATCACTGAGGTGTGTATCGGCACCAGGTGGGTACAAAAATACGAGGTCTGGGTTTTAAAAGTACTGAGTAAGTATAGTCGAAGGGTTGGCAAGGAGCGAGAGGAGGAATATCGATTTCAGTTGACTATGTTACGCTCCGGCGAATAGGATCGAGCTGTGATTAATTAAACCAGTCAAGGAAGGATGAAAACTCGCGAATGATACATTGAGATAAACTCACGATCAAACTCATAACGAGCAAATATTCTGTCACTGATTTATCTTTGTTATTTTATAACGTCTAAAATTAAACAAAATTTTTTTTCAAGTTCAATTTACAAAAAAAAAATTATTTTTATGCTTTGTTAAATAATTATTTTTGTTAAATTGCATTGTACTTTCTTAAATATTGACATTTTTAAAGAAATAAGCTCATCCTGATGTTACACTCATCAAGACCTTTCATTTAAGTATCCACATGCATTTTTATATATTTTTCATATATTCATATATATATATATATAATATATATAAATATATGAAATATATGAAACATTGATGTGGGTACTCAAATGAAAGCTCTCGATGAGTGTAACATCAAGATGAGCTTATATTTTTAAAAATGTTATTAGTTCACAAGATACAACGTCATTTCTTAATTATTGACATTTTTTAAAATATAAACTCATCTCGATGTTACACTCATTAAGAGCTTTCATTTAAGTACCCACATGACATTTTTTATATATTTTTCATATATTCATATATATAAATATATAAATATATAAAATATATGAAAAATTGATGTGGGTACTCAAATGAAAGCTCCCAATGAGTGTAACACCAAGATGAGCTTATATCTTTAAAAATCTCAATAGTTCACAAAATACAAGGCCATTTCTTAAATATTGACATTTTCTAAGATATAAACTCATCTCGTTGTTACACTCATTAAGAGCTTTCATTCAAGTACCCACATGACATTTTTTATATATTTTTCATATATTCATATATATAAATATATAAATATATAAAATATATGAAAAATTGATGTGGGTACTCAAATGAAAGCTCCCAATGAGTGTAACACCAAGATGAGCTTATATCTTTAAAAATGTCAAGAGTTCTCAAGATACAAGGTCATTTCTTAATTATGTATCTAGCGAGCCTAAATACTTATAATAAATTGACTTCTTGAATCCTTGAAAAGGATTCAAATCAAGACCCTAAATTTCACTAAAAAAACCGATTTTATCATATGAATATCCAATAAACAAAATTTTTTCTTAATCTCTTAAGAATATATATGATAAATGAAATATGACTAAAATTTCAAGCTCAATAATAAAAAAAAAAAAAATATTTTCCATCTTATCTTAATTTGTTGCCGTAGGTCACGAAATACCTGATAGAAGAAATCTCTAGCTTTAATAAATAATTGCATAGGATTATCGCTGAGCAGCTTATCTGATTACCGGTTATCCGACATCTTAACAACTTTAGATCCTGTTCTCCTTTTTGTCACCTAAATTATTATTATTATCCCCTCAAAAATAATAACAATAATAATAATAACACTAAAATATAAAAACTTCCTAAAAGCTCAACAAATAAAGCAATTAAATCCTTAAAAAAATTACCCAGCAATTTTCTAAGGACATAGATAAATAAATATAAATAAATAAATTAATAAATAATTATTAATAATGACTCACCGGTGTATAAAGTCGACGCCAAGCGTCCCGGCGCTTCTGCAAGGTCCGGTGTCTCCTGTACGGCCGCATTGATTATCACGCACAATACTGCAATAAATAGATTTATTATCAGCTGTCATTACTTATTTATATTGTTGTTATTTATGCAGTGTCGTTGTGGCTAAGGAGAAAATTAGCGGCAAATTAAAATTAAATAAAAAATGGCAGAAATAAAATAAATTAAATCAATAAACGCGCTGGGGGGTTTTATTTTTTAAGAAATTATCCAGGATGTCAATTATAAGTAATTACCCTTTTGTTTAAGGACTTTTTACTTGTAACACTATCCCTTTGTTATTGTACGAACACACTAGTTCCGTGGTGTAACGTCCTATGCTTATTTGTTTTTTTTTTAAGGTACTAAGCGACATCTGGCGGGAAATTTTTCCCGCCAAAATTTAAATTAAATTATATTATTTTTTTTTATTAGAAAATTATTAAAATGTTAGAAAAAAAATTTTTTTTCTTTATAATTTATTAAAATGTCAAAAAAAAATTTTTTTTTTATAATTTAGGTATTAAAAAAATTTAAAAATACAATTAAACTTAATTAATGAATTAAAAAATGTCAAATAATTTTAACTTGTTATTTTTTTTGACATAATAATTTAATATTTTTTTTTTTTGACATAATTAATTATAATTTTTTTTTAATAATTATTTAAATAAATATTTTTAATTAATACTTACATTAAAAACAATTAAAAAAATTAAAAAATTGACAAAAATGTCAATTTTTCAATTTTCAGCATGATTCTAAAAATAAAAAATTACTTTATTAAAAAAAATACTTAAAAAACAGACAATTGAAATAATCTAATTAATAATTAAAAAGCACGTAATTAATACTTTAATTATTGCACTATAAAAATTTTTAATTGTTTAATTATGTTGTTTATTAATTTAAAAACAATTGGAGGAAAATATCACGCGACTTTAACACTGCGGCCATCTTGTTTACAAATGGCGGCGACGCATGCGCAGTAGGAGGAAATATTTAAAAATTAAAGCGGGAAATTTTGAATTTTGAAATAATAAAAAATAAATTTTTTTTAACAACAACATTTATTGGATAATTAGTTAATTACCACAAGCCTCATGTATAAAAGACATTCTTACATTTGTAATTTACAATTTTTGTAATTAATCTTGGGAACATTGCACTAGAAAAATGGAATTTTTCCAACTTAACTATTTCTTTTTTTATTGAAAAAAAAATCTTATAAAATAATATGAGCAATGAGTAAAAATAAAAATAAAATTGATTTTTTTTTAGAGAGAGAAATTAAAAGGATTCATCGACGTTCAATACTGATGAATTTCTACTGTCTGGAGACTTCATGGCGTCGTATCTACGGCGAAGGATTTCTTGCAAGTCGTTACAGGGACTGTTTTCTCGTTTAATTCGAACTGGACGTCCACCGGGTGACCTTAAAAAATTTATTTTATTATTATTTATGTAAACTAAATAATAATAAATTAAATAATGAATTTTGTTAAATCGCACGGTACTTTGTTAAATATTGATGTTTTTAAAGATATAAGCTCATCCCGATGTAAGACTCATCAAGAGCTTTCATTTGAGTACCCACATGCATTTTTGATATATATATATATATTTGATATATACATATACATAAAATATATAAATATATAAAATATATGAAAAATTGATGTGGGTACTCAAATGAAAGGTCTTAATGAGTGTACCATCGGGATGAGCTTATATCTTAAAAAATGTCAATAATTAAGAAATTACCTTGTATCTTATGAACTACTGACATTTTTAAAGATATAAGCTCATCCCAATATTACATTCATCAAGAGCTTTCGTTTGAGTACCCACATACATTTTTTATATATTTTTCATATATACATATATATAAATATATAAAAAATTGATGTGGGTACTCAAATGAAAGGTCTTGATAAGTATAATATCGAAATGAGCTTATACCTTTATAAATGTCAATATTTCACAAAATACAAGGTCATTTCTTAATTATTAACATTTTTTAAGATATAAACTCATTCCGATGTTACACTCATGGAGACCTTTCATTTGAGTACCCACATGGAATTTTTTATATATTTTATATATATGGTATTTGTGAAATATATAAATATATAAAATATATGGAAAAATTGATATGGGTACTCAAATGAAAGGTCTTGATAAGTGTAACATCGGGATGAGCTTATTTCTTTAAAAATGCCAATAGTTCACAAGATTCAATGTAATTTCTTAATTATGTATCTAGGAGATAAAATTTTTACTTCTTTTCTTAGTAATATAGATAATAAATACCTTTCAATGGGTTTCAATTTAACTTTATCAATATCTTTGATCATATCAGCCATAGACTTCTGGGTCAACAAAGGCTTCTTACGTTCCTCGGTTTTGTAATCCTGGAGACTAGCTCGTCTCGCGATGTGCGGAGTCGTCGGAGGTGGCAAGGGCGGCGGGGGAGGAGGAGGTCTTAGCCCTATACTCGAGTTTCCATTTGATAACGACGCTAACGATGAATCTGTGGGTGGTGGTAATTAGTATATTAGTATATGGTGTATAAACCATGTGTTGTTAATTAACAACAATTTAATTAGAATGACTTACAATGCTCGCGCTGGCTGGTCGTTTTAACTATTTTCGATACTTGTGACCTCAATTCCTGGAGTTCCTGCTCCAATGCTAGGAGTCTTACTTCTGAGCCGAAACTTATTGGTTCTAGTAAGTCGGGTTTGCTTCCAGATAGTCTGCTGCTTAAATTTTAAAAAAAGAATTTAACAATTTTATCATTAAAAAATTTAAAACCAAAAAAAATTAAATTTTAACTAATGTCTAATAATTTATAAAATAAATCATTAAAAACAAAAATTTCAAACTTCAAAATTAAAACAAATTGATGTAATTTTTAAAAAAATAAATTAATAATTTGAATAAAATTAAAATCTAAATTATTTATGAAAAATTATTATTGATAATTTTAACAAGTAAATTTTTTAATGAAAAAAAATTATATTTCTTGTAATTTAAATATCATAAATTAGCAACCTTGCAGTCGCTATTTAAAATATAAATAAATAAAATTTTACTTTATTATATAATTAATTTTATTAAATTGCACTGTACTTTCTTAATTATTGACATTTTTCAAGATATAAACTCATTTCGATGTTACACTCATCAAAACCTTTTATTTGAATACCCACATGCATTTTTGATATATTTTTCATATATACATATATATATAATATATATAAATATATAAAATATATATGACAATATGATGTGGGTACTCAAATGAAAGGTGTCGATGAGTGTAACATTGGGATGAGCTTATATCTTTAAAAATGTCAATATTTCAGAAGATACAAGGTCATTTGTTAAATATTGACATTTTTTAAGATATAAGCTCATCCCGATGTTATTCTTATCGAGACCTTTCCCTTGAGTACCCACATCGATTTTTCATATATTTTATATATTTATATATATATATATATATATGTATATATGAAAAATATATAAAAAATAAAAGTGGGTACTCAAATGAAAGGTCTCGATTAGTATTACATCGGGATGAGCTTATATCTTTAAAAATGTCAATAGTTCACGAGATACAAGGTCATTTCTTAATTATGTATCTTCAGAAATTTTACTAAAAAAATAAATAATTACTCAGCAACTCCAAAACCATTGGTATGATTGTTGTCATTTGCAACCTCGTTGATCATCGAGCTGGACATAGAGTGAAGTGGTGTTACCCTTACATAAATTTTTGGAGGTGGCTTCAGCGGCAAAAACGAACCTATGCGCCGCACTAAGCTACGTCTTTTTCCATAATATTTAGGTGCTTCTCCCATCTAAAAAAATTATTTTAATTAAATAATAATAATAATTTTTAACATAAATTAAAAATTTAATAATGCAAAAAAAATTGTCAGAAATAATTTTTGACATTTAAAATAAAATTATTATTATTAATAATAATAATAATAATAATAATAATATTAGAAGAGTAAGTACTCACTGAATTTCTTCAAAAGCAAGAGTTAATTAAAATCGGTAATTGACCTAAAAAATAAATTGATGTAACGCTTTAAAAATAGACTTGAAAAAAATAATAAACTCACCTCAAATAATAACCAATTGAATAAAATAACCTCCAGTTACATTTACCAGAAACATCAAACAATTAGCTGTGATAATTGTCCAGTTGATATTGATACAATAATTATTGTAGTGAAGTATGAATGAATAATTTTTCGATGGAAAATGAACAAGTGCCAACAGCTGATGCACAGGTTGTTGGTTCGAAAAAATAAATCTAAATAGTATTGATAATTGTTTTTAGTGGATCACTTGGAAATTGTGTCAGTGCTAGTTAATTTTTTATTTTTATTCTAGATATGTCATGTGTCAATTAACTTGTAGGTAAAATTTAATAAGCGGATAATTAACAATTGATTTTATTGTCAGTGACATCAATTATTGTTTTTTTGTCGTTTTAACTTTTTGCAAGTGTTAGGTTATGAAAGAAATGCGAACATTGCCCCCACTTTTTTTTTAAATTTTACTTTGACGTCATGCGCAGAATTTACGCGCAGTAAAATTGCGGGAAATTTAAACTGGAATAAAAAAAAATTTTATTAAATTCATAATAATAATAAATTAAAAAAAATAATTATAAGAGACAAAGTTATGATTTGATTTTTTTTAAGCAATCAAATATCAATATTAAATTTTGTTTGTGGTAATGTCTCAAGTAATGTTTTTACTAATCAATTTCTTTTTTTAAAATGATAATCATTGATATTTACTAATTAATTTTAAATAATTAAATAGATTATCCGGAGACACCAATTATTGACAGGTTAAAAAACTGATTGATCTAATTATTGACATACCTTAGCCCCAATTATTGACACCTATACTGCGCATGCCTAGAATCATCAGCTTATTCTTATTTATCGAAACTTATTATTAAGTAATCAATATTATTAAAGTTTATTAATAATAATTTCCATAAATGATTAATTACTATTAAAAATATAAAAATTAATTTAAAAATAATTTATTTAATCAGAAGAGTTCAAACTCTTACAGTTAATTTTTTAGGTTAAAGTTAAAAAATGGCGTCTTGGCGCTGTTGACTGGCTGTCAATATGAGATTCAACTTAAAAATTATCAACTAGTTATTGACACCCATTATTTAAATATTATAAAGGAAACAATTAATTTGGATTATTCAATTTTATAAATTTTTCATATATTGTTAATTAAAAAAAAAAAAGATTAACTGACAGTAATTTTTTTTAATTTTTGAATTAATTAGAATTTAATAAAAATTTATATGATAGTTATTCTTATTACAGATGATTAAATATATTTAAAAATTATTTAGGGTGTCAATATTTAGACCCCTGTCAATAATTGGGACTTTTTTCTTGTAATTTTTCATATCTTTAATATTTACCGCGAAATTTTTAATTAAATTTCAAAATTTGAATATTTAAATATTCAAATTTTCCCGCTTAAATAAAAAACATTAATCCAGCTGTGAAAAAATCGCTTTAATAAAAACGCGGCTTATTGACGTGACTAAATCAATAAATCTTTCTTTTGTTACTCATAGAATAAAATCGAGGGTTAAACTCGGAATTGCAAGTGCATAACTCAAGTTGTCAGTGTCAACTTAAATCAAATAAGTGTCTTTAATAAAAATTCACCCTCTGCTTAGAATTAACTATTAAAAAACTATAAAAAAAATTTATTTCAGCATATTTATAAAGCTAAAATCTAAAATCTAATCCAGTACTTTGACGTTTAGTCATGTTGTCGTCATCCGAGTTTCCGATAAGGATGATAACAAAACTCTATTGATTATTAATCATCACAATCTAAAATAACAATTGATAATTAAAATATAATTTTAAATAAAATCGCACTTGTGGAATATAAATTTTAATTTATTTTTAGTCCTGCATAATTTTATTACCGTTTGGATTTTTCTTTGTGCTCGGCGACTGGTTTAAAAAGGATAAAAAAAATAAGGAGATTTATTCTTTAAAAGGCAGTTACAAAAATAGGTAATGATTAAGCATTTAATTTTATTTTTAACTATTTATACGTGACCTTTAATAGAGCTATTAATTGACATGTATTTATAGTTATAGAAATTATATTGTGGTATTAATTATTTTTATTTAATCAAGTGTTTTAGCACATCATCATCATCGTCACTATTAAATCATTTATTCAGATGTCCAGATATTTTTTGTAAGCTTTATGGCTTTATTTTTATAATTCTTTGTTCTGCATTTTATATTTTATTTGTTTTTCTAAATTTTAATCTATATTTTTAATGGAAATTTTTCTTGTAAAATTAAAGAAATTTTTAATTTTTAGGATTTGTTTCTTCATTTTTTAATTTTGATCATTAAAAAAAATTTTTTTTTTATACTTTAGTCAAGTTTTAAGTTAAAAAATTATTTTTAATTATTTAAAATGACATTTTTATTTAATCAAAAATTTTAAAGAAATTTTTAATGACATTTCTTCTTTTGGATCAAACAAAATTTTTTTAAATTTATTTTCCAGTCAATTTTTAGATTAAAAAATTATTTTTAATTATTTAAAATGACATTTTTATTTAATCAAAAATTTTAAAGAAATTTTTAATGACATTTCTTCTTTTGGATCAAACAAAATTTTTTTAAATTTATTTTCCAGTCAATTTTTAGATTAAAAAATTATTTTTAATTATTTAAAATGACATTTTTATTTAATCAAAAATTTTAAAGAAATTTTTAATGACATTTCTTCTTTTGGATCAAACAAAATTTTTTTAAATTTATTTTCCAGTCAATTTTTAGATTAAAAAATTATTTTTAATTATTTAAAATGACATTTTTATTTAATCAAAAATTTTAAAGAAATTTTTAATGACATTTCTTCTTTTGGATCAAACAAAATTTTTTTAAATTTATTTTCCAGTCAATTTTTAGATTAAAAAATTATTTTTAATTATTTAAAATGACATTTTTATTTAATCAAAAATTTTAAAGAAATTTTTAATGACATTTCTTCTTTTGGATCAAACAAAATTTTTTTAAATTTATTTTCCAGTCAATTTTTAGATTAAAAAATTATTTTTAATTATTTAAAATGACATTTTAATTAATTAAAAAATGTTTTTTTATTGACATTTCTTCTTTTTTAATAATTTAAAAATTTTTAAATCATTCATTAGGTTAGAAAATTATATTCAATTATTTAAAATAAAATTTTAATTTATTAAAAAATATATAAGAAATTTTTTAGTGAAAATTTCTTCTTTTAAATCAAATAAAATTTTTTTTAATATATTTTGAAGTCAATTTTTAGATTAAAAAATTTTTTTAAATTACATTTTAATTAATTTAAAAATTTTTAAATCATTTTTAAGGTTAGAAAATTATTTTTAATTGTTTTAAATGAAATTTTAATTAATTTAAAAAATTTATTGTTGACATTTCTTCTTTTTAATTAATATATTTATATATATTATATATATATATATATATATGTATATATGAAAAATATATCAAAAATACATGTGAGTATTCAAATGAAAGGTCTTGATGAGTGTAACACTGTAATGAGTTTATATCTTAAAAAATGTCAATAATTAAGAAATGACGTTGTATGTTGTGAAATATTGACATTTTTAAAGATATAAGCTCATCCCGATGTTACAGACATCAAGAGCTTTCATTTGAGTACCCACATGCATTTTTGATATATTTTTCATATATACATATATATATAATATATATAAATATATAAAATATATATGAATAATTGATGTGGGTACTCAAATGAAAGGTCTCGATGAGTGTAACATCAGGATGAGCTTATATCTTTAAAAACGTCAATATTTAAGAAAGTACAGTGCAATTTAACCAAAGTAATTACATAAATAATAATATTTACTTGGTGATAATGATGTTCTAAACAGGCCCATTCACATCAACAAAGGAAAGCAACAACGTGACAGGCGAAAACTTCGCGAAAAGCGGCGAAGTACTGGCGTCGTCCACTTGCCGTCAACAGAGGTAATTTAAAAAAAACACAATTTATTAAAAAACGTTTGATTAGGTTTTAGTTACGTTTATTTTAGTTTTTTGTTTTATTTTAAACCCGTAGAGTACTGGAGGTAGTACTGGAGAAGATGAGGAAGAGCTTGTTGGCACATGTGTCGAAACTAAAAACAATACCCAGCATAATGAATTTCTTGAACATGAACTTGTTGAAGTAAGTTTTTTTTTTTTTTTTAGTTGTATTGGTTTATTTTTTTTTTTAGGTCAATTTATTTTTTTAAACGGAGCTAATGACACTGAGGTTACAATTATTAATTTAATAATTTTTTTAACTAATTAAAAGAATTTTTTAAAAATAATTAAAAAATAAATTGTCAAATAAAATTATTAAATTTAATGTCTAATTTCAGTGTCATTGTTGAAGAACTATCAACAGGTTAATGACTCATAACACTTAACCTATTATTATTATTATTATTTTGTTCCAGGAAAGAACAGCTAAAGTCTACACACAACGAAGAAATAAAAGGTATTACTTATTTTTTTTAATTTATAAAAAATCCAAAACAATTTTACTGATTGATTATTTAATTATTTTTCAGTCATTCGGATCTTGAGGCTGATGACGAAGAATTCGACTCACTAAATCAGTCTGACAGCGTTAATCAATCAGACCACGGTCACCACAGTCATCATGCAAATCAATTAAATTCTATGAATCGTGATCATATACCAACACCTACTGATGACAATCCTCAAGACGTAAGTCAATTATTATTATTAAAATTAATAAAAATTGTCAATTTTTTATTTTTATAAAAATTAAATTTATTAAGGAGATCCAAGTACCTACCTTCTTAGTGTAAAGAATGTCTATAAAAAAATTTTCCCGTGAATTTCCTTAAATAACTTTTTAAAATAAATTCTCTACATTTTTAAATTTGCCGCGCCTGGTATTAGCCGCCATTTTGTCGAATACTCTCGAAAATCTCTTTTTTTAATGATTTCTAATGAATTAGCCTCTTATAAAACAATTTTATGCAATAAAAACTTGAATAATTATTTTTTTCAGTTACTAGAACGTGCACAAAAAGAAAACAGACGGCTCATAACGCTCCTGGAGAACCAAGACCAGAAAATAATGGCCCTGGAAGCTCAACTTCTTCAGCAGCAACGCGAGATGGCGATCGAGCGCGACAGACTGCGCGACGAGAACGCCGCGCTCATTCGCGCGATGGCTGCTCTGGCCAGCAATTAATTTTTTATAATATATATATATATATATTTCGCCTAAATTTTTATCAATTATCGACTACATTCAACGTAATTGTAATTAGTTACTTACTTACTTATTTTAGAATAATTTCCTAGATTTTATTATTTTTTGATTTTTCTTTTGTACTCTAGCTTAATTATATATTCTTATATTTCGATAAATATATGCTTATAGATGTTATGTTAGTATTCATAAATAAATAAATAAAATTTAATTGTACTCACCTGTCACAATTTTTCACTCTATCCATTTGCGCGCCATCTTGTAGAATTTTTAAATTCTCGCATGCGCCACCTAGCGGTCATTTTAAGAACTAAAACTTGAAATAGCGCCATTTTAGTCGTGAAAATTAATCAGTGCGCATAAAAAGAATTGTTGTGTCTCCGGAATTATTTTTTATGTAAGTAAGAAAAAAACATTTTTTTTTGCTATCTCAAATTCTTTATTAATTATTAATTCATTAACCAATTAATATTTTATAAAATATCTTATTTCTTAAAAATAATATATATAATTCACGCGTTATCTTTTTTTTTTTTTTTATTTAAATTATTCCCCATAATTATTTACAAACTTAACCTCTCAATTAAAATGGCTAACCTAAAAATAAACATTCGTTGGGATTCGCTTAAAATTAATTACAATATAAATTTATAAATAAACAATACTTTTAAAACGACAATTTTGTTTTCTTCTATTTTTTTTTTGCACGCGAAACCTCAAAATATTTACATAAATATTTTACAATAAATCTAATTTAAAAAATATGACCTTTTATTTAAATATTTTACGTAATTTAAAAGGCTTTTTTTCATTACTGATATGTAATTATTTTGTTTATTGTCAAGTTGAGGTTATGTAGGCCATTTATAATGTTTTCTTCCTTAAAAATAATTAATATATATAAATTTGTTTAATCAATACTCATTCATTATTAATTAAATATAAATATACATCTTTAACTTTCATACACCGACTCATTCCTTGCATTTGATATTTTTGGTATATTTACACTGTTATTATCAATAAAATAAATTTAATGGTTAATTTAACCATCAAAGTAAGCTACCGATCAATACTGAACTCTATTAATTAAAAAAAAAACGGTTAATTATTAATTAATAAGCGGCAAAATGTCCCGAACGACTAGATCACTTGGATCCTAATGACCCTTAAATGCTAAAAAAATTACAGGAACAAATTATACATGTATAGGAAGTGCTAAAATATAAATGTCCAAGGAAGAGCTTTCGCCATTTTTTTTTCCTCCATCTCGCGATTTAATTGTCTTCCCGTGAGCTTTATTTTAAGCGAATTAAAGATGTTTCAAGTTCGGTGGAAAGAAAAAAAGTGAACCTTTTATTTAATTATAAATATCGATAACAAATTTTTAAGAGTAATAAAGAACTTGCATTAAATTATTGTATTTTTTTATTTTCAATTTCTTCTTTAGAAGCTTTATTCAATGGCTGTGACGTCATTTAGTAACGCCATCTTCCGGCGAAATTTAAAAATATTTGTTGGCAGTTTAAAAAAAAAAAAATACCGCCGTTTTACCAAATATAGTAATTAATCCTTCATCACATATTTTTATTTAAATTATTAATTTAAAAATAACTAGATAATAAATAATAATTGCTTGTTTGTCCTAATAGTGATTTATTAGGTTAGGTGTGTCACTTAGTTGTTATTTAAGGTGGCGCTGTACGGAAAATCCAAGTGCATTAGCTTAGTATTAGCCGCCATTTTGTGGCGCGGGAATTCCAGCCGCCATTTTGTCGAATTCTTTCGACAATCTCTTTTTTTAATAATTTCTAATGAATTAGCCCTTTATAAAGCAATTTTATGAAATAAAAACTTGAATTATCATTTTCATTATTTAAATTAATAAATTAAATTAATTAATTAATTTAATGCAAGTTCTCTATTAATTTAATAAAAATTAAAAACTAAATCTGCACGAGAAGCTAAAACCGTCCAGTCCTAAAACAATGTCCACACAAATCCCTGTTATAGGTTATAAGTACAATCTCATTACAGCCGGCGATCTCTTAGATATTTATCATCAGACTTTTACCGATCGGCCGGATTAATTAATTACAATAATAGTAATAATATAACAAAAGACACGTTGCGATATGTTAACATGATACGCGCACTTAATTAATTAAATAAACAATCTAAACACTGCAGCCGGAGGTAACTTGTTCGGTATGACTCCACTGGTAGTGACTCTTCTCCTCCTGCAGGTTAGGTTCCTGTTTGTTCTGTTCCTCCGAGGGCGCTGCGGGAGCGCACTCGCTAGCTGCCTTCAGTCCTTGCTCGAGCTCCAGCAACTGGCCCATAAAGTTCAGGTTGGGACTTATTATGGGACGCGCATTTTTCACAAGTTTGTATGCGTCGATCATTGCCAGGCCTTTGTGTCGCATTATGTATGCGATCGCTATTGTCGCGCTACGTGATATTCCGGCTTGGCAATGCACCAGTACGCTGCAGCCGGCTTTTCTCGCATCCTCTGTAAAAAAAAAATAAAATTTATTAGTTTTTTCATTTTTATCTTTAATTTAAGATTACTTAGTAATTATTGGGGCTAAAAATTCATACTAAGGCTCAAAATTTTTCTTAAAACTTCCTCTACAATTTTCTATTAAAAAATTTCAGAATATCTTCAATGATTTTTTATTAAAAAATTATTTAAAGTGACCAAAAAGATTTTTAATGCTTAAAAAAATGATTTTTGAAAGATTAATCTTAGAATCAAAATAACTTTTGATCTATTGGTCTTAAAAGCTTCTTTTAGGGCTCAAAAGTTTCGTTAAACCTTCCTTTACAAATACCTACCAAAAAATTTCAAAATTTATTTACCAGTTTCTTAAAATAGCTTATTCAAAATTGTCCAAAAATTGACAATGCTCAAAAAGTAGATTTCTATTTTATAAATCTTAATATTAACATAACTTTTGATCTATTGCTTCTAAACATTTATTTTTGGGCTTAAAAGTTTTCTCGAACCCTCCTCTACAAATTTCCTTTCAAAAATTTCAAAATATCTTAACCAATTCCTTAAAAAAAAACCCTGTTCAAAATTCCTAATATTCCAAAATTTGACTTCTTAATTATGAATCTTAAAATTAATATAATTTTTGATCTAATAATCCTAAAGTCTTCTTTTTAGGCTCAAAAGTTTTCTTAAGCTTCCCTCTACAAATTTCTACCAAAATTTTTCAAAATATCTTCACCAGTTCCTCAAAAAAATCCATTTAAAATCTTCCAAAAGCTAATAATGACCAAAAATTCGACTTTTACATTATGAACCTTAAAATTCAAATAACTTTTGATCTATAGATCCTAAAACCTTCTTTTTGGGCTCAAGAGTTTCCTTAAACCTTCCTCTACAACCTCCTATCAAAAATTTCCAAAATATCTCCACCAGTTTTTCCAAAAAACCTTTATAAGTTTAATACACATAAAAAATGTTCAAAAATACATTTTTTCAGTTTTGATCTTAAATTGTTGATAACTTTTGATTTATTTGTTGAAAACGCTTATTTTTGGGCTTAAAAGTTATTTCAACCGTTCCTCTACAAATTCCTTACAAAAAATTCCAAAATATCTTAATCAGTTCCTCAAAAAAATCCATTCAAAATTTTCCAAAACCTAATAATCAAAAATTTTGATTTTTTTCATTATTAATCTTAAAATTGAAATAACTTTTGATCTATAGATCCTAAAATGTTCTTTTTGGGCTTAAAAGTTTCTTCAAACCTTCCTCTACAAATTTTTCTCAAAAATTTCCAAATTATCTTTAAAAATTCTAAATAAAAACAATTTATAAAATTGCAATAGAAGGAAAAAACTGACCAAAATCCATCAATCTAAAAACCCCGATACTTTCTGACCTAATTCTCCCTAAAAGTCCTTGGTAGGCAAAAAATTCTCAGCTAAAAGGGGCCGATCTAGATCCTACAATTTCTCCCGACTCAAGTATCACCAAACATATGTATCTATATACACAATATACATGTATTATGAGTCATGGTGTTCATGAATGGAGGCCTGTCGTCTTGTATGCAGTCAATGGTCCACCGGATACGGCTGGTTATGCCCCGTTTCCGTTATACTGAACTGCGTTGTCAATTACACACACTCACAATTACAAATAAAAATATATTTATATATATATATATATACATACTAATTGACCCGTTATTTTTATTTATTATTACTTTTGTACTTACATAATATAAATAATTATATATTTTAGATTATTAATAATAATAACAATAAATAAAATAAGGACCTTGTAGTTAAATTTATCTCGGTAGACCGAAAAATTATTTTGTTACGTCATCAATTACCGGGATATTTATATATATTAATCTTGTCAAATTCAGGCGCGTGACTCATTTTTTGTATATTGTGTCGAGTAAATTGTTATAGATAAATTTACTATCACTTGCTGGAGTTAGATAGTGTTTATAATGATTACAAATATTTATATACATTTTTAGAATGTAAATTCGATTATTTTAGGAAGAAATTTTAATTAAGAAAAATTTTAAGACCTTTTTTTTTAATTAATATAAATAAGGGCTGCAAACTGTTCATTTTTTTAAAAAATGACCTTGTATTTTGTAAAATATTGACATTTTTAAAGATATAAGCTCATCCTGATGTTACACTCATCAAGACCTTTCATTTGAGTACCCACATCAATTTTTCATATATATTATATATTTATATATTTTATATATATGTATATATGAAAAATATATCAAAAATGCACGTGAGTACTCAAATGAAAGCTCTTGAAGAGTGTAACATCAGGATGAGCTTATATCTTCAAGATATATATTATATATATGTATATATGAAAAATATATAACAACTATTGACATTTTTGAAGATATAAGCTCATTACGATGTTACACTCATCAAGACCTTTCATTTGAGTACCCACATCAATTTTTCATATATTTTATATATTAATATATATATTTTATATATTAATATGGTTCCATGATTTTTTGATCCCCCCGACAAAATCCCCGGACAAAATATGGTTTTTCTGAAATAATAATTATAATTATTGAAATTTTCGAAAAATTTATTATAATTATTAAATTATAAATTATAAATTTATAATTATTATTTCAGAAAAACCATATTTTGTCCGGGGATATTTTGTCGGGGGGTCAAAACGCCTGATACCATTAATATATATATATTATATATATGTATATATGAAAAATATATAAAAAATGCATGTGGGTACTCAAATGAAAGCTCTTGATAAGTGTAACATCAGAATGAGCTTATATCTTTAAAATATATATTATCCATATATGTATATATGAAGAATATATCAAAATATATCAATACTATTGACATTTTTAAAGATATAAGCTCATCTCGATGTTACACACATTAATACCTTTCATTTGAGTACCCACATGGCATTTTTCATATATTTTATATATTTATACATATTATATATATGTATATATGAAAAATATATCAAAAATGCATGTGGGTACTCAAATGAAAGCTCTTGATGAGTGTAGTATCAGGATGAGTTTATATCTTTAAAAACTTCAATATTTAAGAAAGTACAGTGCAATTTAACAAAAGTCATTATTTAATAAAGCAAAATTTTAATAAAAAATCTTAAATATAAAATAAATATTTACCAATAAAATTGAACGCTTCTTCAAAATATTGCTTCAAGTTCTGATGCCCAGAATCATTGGCGGGTATTTGGAGGTAGGTGATGCCACGTGACTCATGGTACCCAGGTAGCTGTGACGTAACATTGAGGACACGAGTAGCCCCCAGAGCTTGAAGAAGCTGGAGATCCGCGGCATCGCGGCCGTTCCCCAGGTAAAGAAACGGCAGAACGCGCGACGCCGGATGGTTGTCGATGTCCGCCGGCTGGGGAGTCGTCGGGCACGGACTCATTATCACCGGACATCCTGGTCCAGGGCTCGGGCAGCCAGATGGCAGGGACATTGAGTTCCCCGGTAAAAGTGTGTCCTCGCAAAGGTCGCGGTGTCTTCGCTGGAATTCTCGGTGACCTCCTGCAACAAAGAACAATAATAAATAACTATGACTCACTATCACAGCTGCCATCTGTTATATGGGATATTCTTATGCTTATGCTTGTATTGTACAACAATACCCCTGTTGAGACTATTCACTGATTTTGTCTAGACTTTTTTTTAAGAAGTTATCAAAAATGATTCATCTTTTTTTATGATCAAGAATTTTATTTCTTCATTAGTAATCTTAGAATTTTTATAACTTTTGATCTATTGGACCTAAAAATTTTTTTTTGGGCTTAAAATTTTCCTCAAATCTTCCTCTACAATTTTCTATATTTAATTTTCAAAATATCTCTCCTAATTCCTTACAAAAAAAATTTTTAAAGTTGGTCAAAATTAAAAAATGATCAAATTTGTTATTTCTTCTTTATTAATTTAAAAATGATCATAAATTTTGACCTAATGCTTTTAAAAATTGTTTTTTGGACTCAAAATTTTCTCAAAACCTTCCTATACAATTTTCTTTAATAAAATTTCAAAATATCTCCTTAATTTTCAAAAAAAAAAAAAAAATATTCTAAGTTGCTCAAAAATTTCTAATAATAAAAAATTTGATTTTTTCATTATTAATCTTAATATTATTATTATTTATGATCTATTGGATCTAAAAAAATTTTTTTGGGCTCAAAATTTTCCTCAAACCTTCTTCTACAATTTTCCATAATAAAATTTCAAAATATCTTCTATATTTCCTTAAAAAAAAAAACTTTTAGAGTTATCCAAAAGTTCCTAAAGATCAAAAATTAGACTTCTTCATAATGAATCTTAAATTCTTAATAATTTTTTATCTATTGCTTACAAAAATTTTTTTTTGGGCTTAAAATTTTCATTAAACCTTCCTCTACATTTTTCTATAGTAAAATTTCAAAATATCTCCTCAATTTCCCAAAAAAAAAATTTTTTTTGTTACCTCAAAAATTCCTAATAATCGAAAAATTGATTTTTTCACTATTAATCTTAAAATTCACATAACTTCTAAACTAATGGACCTAAAATTTTCTTTTTGGGCTTAAAATTTTCCTCAAACCTTCCTCTATAATTTTCCATCCTAAAATTTCAAAATATCTCCTCTCCTTCTTCAAAAAAAATATATATACAAAGCTCCCCAAAAATTCCCTACTATAAAAAAATTCATGAAAATTAAGTTAGCCGACATTTCAAAATTTTTAATTGAAAAAATTTCAATTAAACAGTTAAAAAAAATTGTGTCACATGTAAAAAACTTGAAAAACTATAAGTGCAATTTTTTATAAATATCTTTTTAGTTGTAATTTAATTAATAAAAAAAAATCAAAAATTTTTACACGTCTTCTAACTTCAGTGTCAAAAATTAAATTTCTTCATTTCTAAAAAAAAAGCATTTCTTATAAAATTTCCATCAAAACATCACACACGACATACAACAACAATGTCCGAGCATTATATACACATACACATCAACATCTACATTCATAATATAATACAACAAAACTGAACGGGCTTTCTCGCGATGACTCACACGCAAAACCTCTGTACTCTTCTTACCCCTCAATTTAACACCGAACGACCTTCTCAATATTTTCTATTCTTAATATTATTAAAAATTCTTCAAATTTGAATTAATTACCCCAAAAATTATCATTAAAAAAAATTAATAATAATAATAATAATAATAATAATAATAATAAACAAAAAAAATTATTTTTTTTTAAATAAAAAATAACTTTAATAATTATTTTTTAAAAAAATTATCAAATTAAAAAAATCAATAATTTTTTAAATAAAAATATTTTATTTAAAAAAAATCAGCTGACATTTTAAATAAATAAAAAATTGTCATTTAATTAATTAAATTAATTTTAAAAAAACCTACCCCAGGGTTCAATAGATCCTAGACTCAAAACTAAGCAAGGAGATCCTTTTTTCCTCATTGTTATTTAAAAAAAAAAAAAAAAAAAGGATCAAAAAATAGTTTTCATTTGTTTTAATCACACTGTAATTTTTTTACAAACTATATTTGGTATAAAACAATTAAATTAATTAAAAAAAAACTCTATATTTAAGTCACAATAATTGATTAAAAAAAATCACAACTAGAAAAATAATTTATTTATTATTATTAGAGAACTTTACAGTTGAAAGTTTGATGAAACACTGACGAATAACTTTGACGAGAAAACGCTGGTTCACACGAGGCCGACAGAAAGTATGACTCACCAGCAAGAGCTGTGATTGGTTACTGTGAGTTAACTGCGAAGAAGAACCTACGAGTTTGTCCGAAGTCGGCGCGGGAAGTTTGAAATTTAAAAAATGCGACGCAGAAAAATTGTTTTAGATTTCTTCTTTAAAAATATTTTTTTTGATTGTTTAATTTAGATTTTTTTATAGTAAAAAAATTGTACATTAATGACTTTGCACTGAAAATAATTTCAAGTGTGATAAAAAAAATATTTGGAGGTTAAAAAAGTCCCGGAGGGGATTCTTGAATAGAAGAAATAATTTTTCAATGACAAAAAGAAATAGATCAATATCAAGAAGGTAATTAGTGATTTATTACACGTGTTAATGATAGTAATTATTATTTTATTTATGTTTTAAAGACTTAGGTGATTAACGATAGAGGTGATTCAGAAAAACCCAAAATCGGTTTTGTTAATGGTTTATTTATGGACAGAAGCGGCTTAGGTTTCTGTTTTATATTGAGGAAATTCCTTGTAGGAGACAATGCTATGATTCAGACATAAGAATGAGATACGGATCCGGAGAAAGCTAATAACAATGCTGTAATTAGTAATTTAAATCGCGGATGACTAATTGTGAGTTGGAATTTTGTTGGATGGAAGTCTTAAAGGTGTTTTTTGAGGTTTTTTTAGGGAATAGAGGTGAGTTTGAGGAGTGAGAAGTGTAAAGGAGGGTTTAAGGAAAATTTTGAGCCGAAAAAGAAGTTTTTAGGAGCGATAGGTCGGAAGTTATGGTAATTTTAAGGTTTATAATGGAGAAATTGATTTTTGATCATTATTGAGATTTTTAAGATTTTGAATGAAGTTTTTTGAGGAACTGGTGAAGATATTTTGGAAAAATTTGATGGAATTTTGTCGAGGAAGGTTTAAGGAAACTTTTAAGCCCAAAAAGAAATTTTTAGGATCATTGGATCAAAAGTTATGGTAATTTTAAGGTTTATAATGGAGAAATTGATTTTTGATCATTATTGAGATTTTTAAGATTTTGAAAGAAGTTTTTGGAAAAACTGGTGAAGATATTTTAAAAAATTTTGGTAGATATTTGTAGGGGAAGGTTTGAGGAAACTTTTAAGCCAAAAAAAAAAAAATTTAAGAGAAATAGATCGAAAGTTATTTAAATTTGAAGATTCATAATGTAAAAGTCGAATTTTTGGTCATTATTAGTTTTTGAATGGATTTTTTGGAGGAATTAGTGAAGATTTTTTGGAATTTTTCAGTATAGGATTGTAGAGGAAAGCGGAAGGAAACTTTTGAGCTGAAAAAGAAGTTTTTCAGAGCATCAGATCAAAAGTAATTTCAATTTTAACATTTATAATGTAAAAATTGAATTTTTGGTCATTATTAATTTTTGAATGATTTTAAATAGATTTTTTTGAGAAACTAGTGAAGATATTTCGGAAATTTTTGAAAAGAATTTATAGAAGAAGGTTTAAGGAAACTTTTAAGCCCAAAAAGAAGTTTTTAGAAGCAATAGATCAAAAGTTATTTCAATTTTAAGATCAAAACTAAAAAAATCAAATTTTTGATCATTATTTTCTAGAAATTTTTGAAATTTATTTTCTGAGGAACTAAGAGAGATATTTTGAAAAAATTTTTTGCTACATTCTAGAGGACAGTCTAAAGAATCTTTTAAGCCCTGAAAAAAGTATCTGGGGTAATTAGGACCAGAGAAATAACAATTTGTAATGTATCAAATTTAGAGTAACTTTTTAAGAAAAAATAAATGAATCCAATTAAATAATCTAAAAAAAAAAAAAAAATGAAGTGTCGATGATTTATTATAAAAGAATATATATTTGTCATGTATATGTTATGAGTTATGACGCACGCGAAATATTTTCAGCCGTGATCTTTGTCGAGATCGAGGTCGATCAGGACAATAACTAAAACGATTTACCAACAGACTAAAAAAGAATCAAATAACAATAAAAAATTTTTATCTATTAATTTGAATATTCAGTAAAAAAGAAATTCAAAAAATTTTTTCCACAACAAAAATCAACAGGTAAAATGTCTCGACTTATGAGTCATTTACAATCGACGAACACCTGGACATGACCCTGAATGATTCGCGGCAATGTTGTCTCACTCTAACATTTTTTTTCTTCTTTAGTTTTATTTGCGCTCAACTCCTCTTTTCTTTCTTCCAAGTTTTCTTTCTTTTACGCGACTAAATAAAACGTAAAGGGGATTCCTATTTATATATGACACATATGTACAGTCATGTCTTTTACGTTTTACTTTACGCTATTTACTCACTCTAAATTTTTATTATTATTATTATTATTTCAATATTTGATATTAATAAATGGAAAATTTTGATTTTTTTTTATTTTAGTTCAAAATTTTGGGTCAAATTTTGAAAATTAAAAAAAATAAGACATTTTATTTAGAAAATTAAATTTTCTATAAAAAAAGTTCGTATCAATTTTGTCCTATCTAATTTTCCCTTAAAAATTTAAATTAAAAGTTACCCTCTCATTTTTTCCTTCAAAATTTGAATTTAAAGTTCAAAAATTCACTTATAAAACTTGTCCCTAGTTTTCAAAAGTTTCAAATGTTAATTTTGGCTAAAATATTGAAAACATCAAAAAATGATAAGACATTTCTTCTAGAAAATTTTATTCCTTACAAAAAAGGTCCTTATTCATTTTGCCCTAAGCCTTGAGCTGGAATTAAAAAAAAATAAACTCAAATTTCCACTATTAATTATTATTATTATTTTTTATTGAGAATTTTAAATCAAACATTGAACAC